CTCAGGTACAAAATACAAATTCACCTAGTGGAAATCCAACCTGGTCAAACCTGGTATCTACTTCACACCTGGGGACAGTAGAACAAGGGGAGGTAAATGATTAAGACCGATCATAGAAAAAAGTATACAGTAACTCCTTTTGTAACTCCATCTGTAAGATACTGGAACCCTTTGCCGTAAAGGTGCAGCGACACGAACAATTGAGGAGTTCATGACCAGATAAGCCAGTGTGTCCTGGACTTAGTTACAGCCTTACTAGACATCATCCAGTCACAGTGTAAATCGTTTTAACTATATGGTTCATTTTATTTATTTATTTCAATTGAGGGCATTATTTTTCTATAGGGAACTTTACATGCATAAAAAAATGACAGGACCCAACATAACAAGAATGTTTTATAAAGGCAATATCATAAAACGTAATCACGAATTGTTTATATATTTTCAATGGCAATGAAATCAATTACTGGCCAAGACAGGAAGTTTTATTAAAATATGTATTAGACTTTAACTGAATATTCAAAATGGATATTGATACCAAACGCGGATCCATTTTCTGAGTTTTGGTTATATTTGTTGAATATTAAGGTTATATATCATTCTTGAGATTTTTCCTTTTTTTGTATTATTTTGATAATTATTTTTTCTTTAGTGGTTTTGAAGTAAGCACAGTCTTGAAGTTATTTTAGATATTCACTTGAACTTTTTGTTGTTTCAAAATTCAACTTTATAGTTATTCTAATCAGATATCCTGTCGAGTTATTGCTATAGTAAAAAAAACATCATCCAGATACCTGGCTTATAATTTTATGGTAATATATTTCTGGGGTAGAAAATCCTTAGTATTTAGAACAATTCAAAGTTTTGTTAACGTTTAATCTATCAATATTTTTATATCAATGATAATTCATGTCATCACAGAAGACTACTGGGCTAGTGATACTCTCGGGGACGAAACCTTAACCAACTGCGGCATCGATCCAGTGGTTGTAAAAAAAACTCATCAGAGATACCAAGTTTTGTAAACAGTTAATTTATTAATATTATATTATAATTCATGTCAACACAGATGTGCTGACTACTGGGCTAGTGCAATCCGCGTCAAGGAAACCTCCACCAGCAATGGCATCTACCCACTACCTATAAAAAACTCATCAAAGAAAAGTAAATGTACTTTAGGGCATTTGTAACTGAGTAACGGTGACTCTTTGTTTTGAATTGAGTTTTAATTCCTCCGATTCTATTGGTCGCAAGCATTTTTATCACGATAGCCCAATAAAGCCCCGTTCACATGCACACATTTGCATATGTATGCTTATATATACTTATAAATATAATTATTTCTGTGACTGTATCTTGCATTAATTTATAGGATCCTTTACAATAGATATTTCAGCTGATCTGTAACAATACCATCTTCATGCCTTATATATCATGTACTGTATTACGACGCTAGATTAAAACTGACGAGGAAAGGTAACACCCGGCCACCGAAAGCTTTATTATTGAAGCCTAGGTGGTCGTGTGGTCTAGCGCGTCGGATACAGTGCAGGCGATTTGGTGTCACGATATCTCAGTAGCATGAGTTCGAATCCCGGCGAGGGAAGAACACAAAATTTGCGAAAGCAAATTTACAGATCTAACATTGTTGGGCTGATGTTTAGACGAGTTGTATAATATATACATATATATATATATGTATGCAGAAATACATATCAGTGTAAAACGTGTATATGAACATAAATACACATACATTTAAATTTACAATGAGTGTTAATTTGCACGACCGAACCCTTAATGCAAAGTAAAATGGCACATATATATGCAAATGTACGCTGTGTGTATTTTGTGTATATGAACGCAAAATATAAAAATACGACATTGTAACTAAAAACTGTATACTAAGGTTTAATCCGTCAGTCTGTCTGTCAGTCCATCAGATCTGTGTGCGTGCGTCCGTAAGTAATTTTTGTTTCCGCACCATAGCCCTATATATATATATAAATGCATAACTAAAATTTTTTACTCTATGATTATCGAAATGCACGCTCACCTTACTTCGATGTAGGATCACATATAAGAAGAAAATCCCTGCTTTGTTTGTCACTACGTTTGCAGTGAAAGTAACTATAAATAGCCCCAACTTAATACGGAAAAGGAGTTACCGGATTATAACTCTCAATTTTTACAAATGATTGAAGATGAAAGGACGATCCTTATCTACCATTGTGTCCGAAGGCAATGTCACAGACACTAACAAACTGAAAGGAGTTCAGAAGACGGATTTACCGATTATAATCGGTAATCTTAAAAGGGATTGCCACGAAACTTTCAGAGCTGCACACATCGATCTAAGAGAAGCCAATTTCAAACTGTTAAACCACTATTTCTGATTGTAGGAGGGACGAGCTAAAAACCATGTCTTACTCCACCACATTCGTTATGTGCCTGTAAAAGTCCAGGAGACTAAAAATCTAGTGGTTGTTAGTTACTCTCCGTCATAATGTTTTCCTTATTTCTTCTATATTTTTTCACGACTTGTCATCTTGGAACTTTTCGGCCTTAACTACAGTATACAAAAACTGAACGACATTCGGAGAACAAGACACAAAGATAGTGCACCAAATGGATCAATGTTAAAGGCATATCTAACCTCTTCCGCGACTCGACTATTAAGTTTCATCTTGGAAGAATACAAATCCCTTAATGGCAAAAGTGTATATAACTAAAATACACCCTTTGTATATAAAAAAAAACCAAACCCATGTGAATGCATCGCAAATTGACATTTATTTCAACCCTTTATGGATTGATTTATAATACATATATAAGTAAGCAATGAATGTGGTTGTTAAATTTGATAGATGCTTTTTGTGCTTCTTTGTTAAATGTTTGTTTGTTTGGTTGTTGGAATTTGATGTGACTGTCATACAAGTGAGAGGTTTAGCGCTATAAAACCAGGTTCAATCCACCATTTTCTACATTTGAAAATGCCTGTACCAAGTCAGGAATATCACAGTTATTGGCCATATGTTTGATGTGTTTTATCATTTGATTTTGCCATTTGATTAGGTACTTTCCGTTTTGAATTTTCCTCGGAGTTCAGTATTTTTGTGATTTTACTTTTTACATACATTGACACATTTGCACAGATGATGATATGTGTGAAAATGTCCACAATGTGAATTGGGCTAAGATAGTATATGCCATTCTATGACGACCAATTTTTACATATATTCACAACCGAGTAATCTTATATTTGTTCTATTCATCAGTTAATATTTGCTGACTACTAGTTTAACAAGTTTTGTAAAAAAAAAGTAAAGAAACATATGTTCACCTAGATTTCAGTAAATTTTGGTGTTAGTAAAATTTAGTATCCTAGATCTCATTCTTAATGTAATCATGTTGTATGATGTATGAGAGTGATTTAGCTCATAGTGAGCTCATAAATGATGCAGATGGGGATTTGGATATTAATTTGCCAGTCTAGAGGACAAAATGGATCAAAGACAGGCATTGCCCAAGGATTTTCTCCTGGTCATGGGCGTTCTATGTATTTGGAAAACATTTTAATTTCAAAGTAAAACTATATTTTAGTTAGAATATTTAAAAAAAAAAACATGTCTTCGTCTTTTCAAATTGGAAAAAAAAAATTAATTTGGAATTTTTCAAGGTCATAGTACATTTCGTTTATACAACTTGAATGAAAGATAAGTTGGTGCCAATATAAGCGTTCTTTTTTTAACCAGATTTTTTTCGGCTTGACAAAAACTCCTTTGATTTTGAAAACCAGCCAACATTCATATAACCCTAGGCCTGGATTGACCCAATGAATGCACTAGCGTACAAAGTTCTATTGAATAATATAACGTGTTTACCAAAACTGCGTAACATCGTGGTAGACTGACAACTTTGAAGAATTCGGATAGAAAAAGCAATCGCTAACAAGTTTTAGCGAGATATATCAGAACACGATAAACATAGTGACTGTTATGGGTAGGTGAGTTTGAAGGCTTTAATGAACTTAACTGCGTTACGGAGTTGCAAAAGCCTGACATGATCGTGCGTAGGTGATTAATTTACTAGCATGCTAATTTACGATTAAAAACTTAAGAAACACGATGAAATAAATGAGATGGCGAGTGTGTAGTAGATGTCACAATCATGATTCAAGCAATGTTGTAATTCCAAACATAATATAAGCGATGAAAATAAAAATTTTCCGGAAAAGGATTCGCTATAAAAATATAAGGGTACACAACAATATAAAACGTAGAAAAGACAAAAAAATTTAACATAAGAAACTGCCACAGCAGACATAAAACAATGTTTTGTATACATTAAACCAACTATTTTTAGATTATTGATCAACAATCTGTTCATCTATCAATGGGTTTTCAGTCAATAAAATAAAAATTTGGGAGAAATTTCAAATAATTCTATATTTATTAACGATTTCCCCTTCCGTGCCTAAATAACTCTAAGTAGAAATCTTTACCGATTTACATGTACAAACGATACTTTTAAAAGTGTAATACATTTTATAAATCTAATTGTAAATTTCTACTGAATAAACTCTGATTCAGTTTAATGAAATCGCTGATTTTCGATAGCCCTTTACTGTATGCAATAATGATAACACCAGATTAGTGCCTTATTTAGTCCAATGTTTAGCAAAATAGTCAATTATTTTAAGAATAACGAAAGCTTCAAATTCGTCAGTTTTAGATTCAGAAACATAATATCATCCGCTCAATGAGATCTGAATCTGGGCATACCAATTTGCTTACAATTCCACAAACACAAACTTATTTTAAAAATTTACGTTTAAAAGCATAATACTAAAGTTGAAAATACAAATATTCAAGTTAGAAATTTCAAATTTTAGAAACATTCAAAATTTCTATTGAAACTTACAGTTAGAAATTCCAGTATTCCAGTATGTTTAAGTCAACAATTCGAAAAAAAAATCGCTCAATTTCGGTTTTTGTACTTACTTCCATTTCTTTGTCTTTGTACAAGAGCCTTTGTTTGCTTGGTGTGTGACCAAGTTGAGTCTGAATTTTCCGTTTCAGGTCTAAAACGGTCATTTGTGGTGAGAAAGCTATTGTTATTGACGATCCGGTCAATCCTGTAACGTTTATAAAAGATTTTCCATCTGACAAGTCAACTTGTGGTGTGTATTCCGTGTCATACTCGGTAAACATATCGTCTAAAATTTCTTGAAAAAGACTGATGGTCTCGGATGTTCTTTTAACTTCTTTATTGCACCCAGGATGTGGACAAACTTCATTTTTAGCAACGTAGTTAACTAAACACTGGAATTAACAAAAGAAAAATTACAATTTGAAATATATTTACATTAAATGTACAACTTACTAGATCCCATATGAACACAATAGTTGGACTGGTTGCTGAAATGGGACATAATTCTTCGAAGTCCGCATATAAGAAAAAAGTATTTCATCTAAAAACAAATTCATTTGCGGTCTCTAACTTCTTATTGTACAATTGTAAAACAAAATAAACAAATCTACAGGAGGAATGGCGATAGAGCAGATAACTAAATCAAATGAGATTTTGTATAACTTTAGGCTTACCATCACGAATTGGTTGATCCATACGATGTGTCTGTGTCTAAACTAACTAAGGACATTTTTACCACGTCTTAGATTGTGGTTTACCATTTACGTCGTCTGGTCTTTTAAGTACCGAACATGACCTATTCCTGAATATGACTGTTTTGCTGAGTGTGAATTCGCATTTCTATAAGACGTGTCACGGTATTTGTTTATCCAACATTCATGTATTTAGTTATGATGTTGTATTTGTAATTCTGATCGGATATTGTTTAATGTCTTATCGTTTGTAGTTGTAATTTTAATTTTTTTATTTTCTATTCGTATGAAAAAGTAAAGATAATTAATCATTCAGTTCATTTATAAGATTTTAGTTTAAAGCAACTATATGTACACGATTTATTTGTTTTACAGTTTGATTCAGAAGAAATACCGACATAGCTAGATAATACAATTAATTATCTAATTACTAACACAATTCTATATTAATATTCTTGTAATTGTTATAAAATACATCAAATGACATAGTTACAAACCTGATCTTGAACTGTATCAATTTTTTTTTAGAAATTTACCTGTGACGTCACTTTTGTGGCGTTGATCCAGTCGTGTGAAAGACCGTTCGTGGTTCTGTTGTGCTGTTTTTGTGTGCTGTCCTATGTTGTTTTACGTGTTAGTTTTTATTCTGTGGTTAGCATGTCGAAATGTACTATTGTATTTTTTATTTGTGTATTTCTCTGTTCTGAATGTTCTTGCATTTATTTGTACTGTATTCCTGTCATGTTATGTTGTCATTTTAGTTTTATATTTAACATTGCCATAAAAACGCGAGGTTTGGCTAGCCACAAAACCAGGTTCAACCCACCATTTTTCCTTAAAATGTCCTGTACCAAGTCAGGAAAATGGCAGTTGCTATCTTATAGTTCGTTTCTGTGTGTGTTGCATTGTCGTTTGTTTTTTGTTCACTTCAGTGTTTCTGTTGTTTCGTTGTTTTCCTCTTATAGTTGATGTGTTTCCCTCGGTTTTAGTTTGTAACCCGGATATGTTTTCTCTCAATTGATTTATGACTTTCGAACAGCGGTATACTACTGTTGCCTTTATTTATCAGACGAATCAAGTGTGAATTTCAAGATATTCTCATCACTGAAACATGCACGAAAGGGCCATACTGATTATGGCACGCCGTTGTCGTCAATTTTTAAAAGCACTGAATAAAAATTATTCTCATTTGCAAAACAAAACTACAAAATAAGATTTAAAACATACAGTTTTCTCGTTTGAATTGTTTTACATTTGCCATTTCGGGGCCTTTTATAGCTGACTATGCGATATGGGCTTTGCTCAATGTTGAAGGCCGTATGGTGACCTACAGTTGTTAATTTCTGTGTCATTTAGTCTCTTGCGGAGAGTTGTCTCATTGGCAATCATACCACATCTTCTTATTTAATATTTACGGTTAGATTAAAAATGAACAGATAGTTTCTGTTTAAAATGCACAGCTTGATTAATAAAGGCAACAGTAGTATACCGCTGTTCAATAGTCATAAATCGATTAAGCGAAAGCAAATCCGAGTTACAATCTAAAATCGAGGGAAACACATCAACTATAAGAGGAAAACATCGGAACAACAGAAACACTGAACTGCAACAAAAACAAACGCCAACATACATAGAAACGGACTATTTGATAACAACTGCCATATTACTGATTAAAACATTCAAATCGAGTTTTAGAAGATACAACTAGACTGCAATATAAAATGGCTTAGTTTTAAAGAGGCCTTCAGATTTATGAAAGATACAGCTAGATTTGAAAAAAAACATTACTAGATTTTATGAGACTAAACGTTGCGCACCTCATGAATTTTTGTTTTTGTTTAGACAAAATCTGAATAACTTCTGCTTTTTGTTCCTGACATTTGGACACCTTGGAACTTAACAGAAAAAGTCGCGAGAGAGTAAAAAACACGAAATTGCAATCATAACTTACTATCAATCATGTCAGTCACATATCTGGAACATAGAAAATAGAACGGATTCTTAAAGTTAGACAAGCTTTCAATTCGGAATATTTAAATAATAAAAATTTCAATGCTGTTCACCATAGTTATCTCTGACTGCATTTCCAGATAAAATAAACTTACTGGTCCCAAATTCAACTACGGTCTCGACAGCACAACATGTGATAGTATTCAATTATAGCCTTTTAATGAGGTCGATACGAGGATATTCGACATGGAAGAAGTATATCGACTGAATGGGGTTTTTAAATTTCATTATTAGATATTGTAAAACATAATTATGCAATATCACTTTTCGACATGCCGTTTTAGTCGACCTTTGAAAATACAGTTTAACATGTGACTCATTCTGAACGAACAAATAAGTTAGAATATTCAAAATAATGATATTAGCGCACATTACATACTTAGTAGTAAATACAAGTAAATTGTATGTGTAATATAATCAATGGTAATCGTACTGTATCAGCTTTCCATGATGATATCGATAACAGTCACGATTAAAAAGACTTTGTTAAACCCTTGATCGTATGACGTCACGTAATCGATATCAGTCAGGGTTACAAAGGCTTTATCAAACCCCTTATATGCATTACGTCATGTCTCGTGAAATAACATCTAAATTAGTTGTGCATGAGGTACATGTATATAATAAAGTGTATATGATATGGCTTTTTCAATATCACACACCGTAATAACCCTCTTCGGTTATACTGGTGTATCGGGTTGATATAGGTGTGATATCTAAAAAGCTATCTGATATTCTCTATTAAATTCAATCGTTTCAATGCAAAAGTAAAATAACAAAAATACCGAACTCCATGGAAATTCAAAACGGAATGTCCCTTAACAAATTTCAAAATCAAAAGCTCAAACACTTCAAATGAATGGAAAACAACTGCCATATCCTGACTCGGTACTGGCATTTTCTAATGTAGAAAATGGTGGATTAATTCTGGTTTTAAAGCTAGCTTAATCTCTCACTTTTATGACAGTCGCATAAAATTCCATTTCATTGACAACAATTTGTGAGCAAAACAAACAGACATGATACAGCAGTCAACATTGTTTTATTATCTTAATCACTAGAAAAACAAACAACTATGTCGACAAAGAAAAACAAAATGGCATGTAGTGTATAGATAAAGCAGATAAGCAAAAATGAAAGACAAGAATAAAAAAATGACCATAGCACAATAACCCAATGGCATGTTGTATAAATATCGAGCCACGCCAAAAGGATATTACCAAAAATGGACTAAAAATATACAAAGACAAATGAAAAGAACACCATATCACGTAATTAAGATGATAAACAACGTTAGCACCTAGGATCTATACCTCAAGCCCATCATGTATTATTTGTGCAGTTGTTACGGAATATTTATCAACAAGGTCTTGATATCTCCCGATGAACCTTTTTAGAAAAAGGACGAGACGTTCTTTGACATAACTCTGGTTCATCAACGTTTTGCTCAGACACTGGTTACGTTTTATAAATATCACAATATCGCATTTACTGATGTAGTCTCTCAATTCCAAATTCCTTCTGTGGCACTAAACAACAGTATATGTAAATTGCGTGGCTCATTTTTGGGACAGGTTTTCTGGTCGTATTCGATCTTAGCAGATTTGTCAACTGCTTTGGGGATGTTGAAAAAGGTATAATTGTGCTTATCCAGCAAGTTGATAGGTTATTAAAAAATAGTTGGACATGTGGTATTAATGCATTTACTTCTGAAAAATTAAAAACATATGTAAAATAAGATTAAATGACCATCAAACTACGAAATGAAGCAAATTCGTATGAAATATAGTGCTAATTAAGAAAGTCTATTATTGACTGATTCCATATGTGCCTGTTGAAGAAGATGTTTTTCAAATAAAAAAAAAAAAGCTAAATAAAAAGCGTTCCGTCGAAGAACTATACTGGATTAACCTGCATCGGGAACGGCCAAATCTAAATATTTGAAAGTAAAGGATGCATAAACAAGTAGACACGTAAATAAAAGCAACAGTAGTATACTGCAGTTCAAGTCATCATTCGATGAAGCAAAAACAAATCCGGGTTACAAATTAAAACCGAGGGAAACACATCAACTATAAGAGGAAAACAACGGAACAACAGAAACACTGACCTACAACAAAAGCAAACGCCAACATACATAGAAACGGACTGTAGATAACAACTGCTATATTCCTGACTTGGTAAAGGACATTTTAAGAAAAATGGTGGGTTAAACCTGGTTTTATGGCTAGCCAAACCTCCCACTTACATGGCAATGTTAAAAATATTGCTAAAATGACAAAACTACGTGACAGGAATACAGTACAAAAAAACGCAAGAACACTCAGCACAGAGAAATACATAAAGAAATAATATAATAGTACATTACAACATGTAAACCGCAGAAACAATAGTCACTTCCCATGAGTTTTCGACAGCACACCAGGATACCACAAATGAAATATAAACCGCGCGTCACATGAATGGACCAACGTCACAAAAAGTGACGTATTTATTGCGACGTTTATATTATCACATGTAAATTTCTAAGAATAAAATAGATTTGTTTTATTTATAGACACGTACAAGAATATTAAATTGGGATTGAGTTTGTAATGGTGTTATTTTATATATTTTCTAACCATGACAAGAATATTAAAATGGAATTGTGGTGTTGTTATTTGTATTTTCGAACCATGTTAGTTTTTCTT